TTTGTGTGTAAGTTTATGTTTGTGTCTGCTGGAGTTAAATATGGAGGCCTTTCTTACAACGATTTGTTTCAGTTAAGCTATTTTATCTGATTCATTCAATTATGCCTTCACTGATTCTCAAACTTTCAAAAGAATGCTTGACTTTTTTGAGGCAACTTTCAGTTCTATGACTTCTTTAAATTTGTAGTTGGTATTTCCATGGCTTTCTATTATATCTTAATGTTGTTTCTTGAAGTGCAAACACATAGAATCTTTAAAATGCTATAAAAAAAGCTAATTCTGACAAATTGTCATTCTGCAAAATGTACTTTATGATTTCTTTGGCTGACTTCCTGTAGGTATCAACTATTTGCTAGTGTTTTCTATAGTTCCTAGTTTGGCATTTGTTCAAGGTAGTCATGAACTGGAGCAGTGAGTGGGGCAGTTGAAGACCACGAAGCTTGATCATATGCACTTGTAGAGAGGTTGATGGTTGAGGAGAGGCAAGAGTGAAAGTACCTGAGTTACCATAATGACTGTGATCAGCTAACTCCATGCAGCCAGAGCGTCGGACCTGCAAACTTTTCTAGTTTGAATACTACTGAGTAAAGGTAGAAATATCAGAATCTACTCACATTTGCAATAGAAATCCACTTGCCTTCTACACTTGCGCTTTAGAACATTTTAATGCTTTGAATTATATGTATTATTCCTTTATCAAACTTACTGAAAAAAATGTGTTCTGAATAAATAAAACAGAAATTGCTTGAAAAACTCAGCAGTTCTGGCAGTATCTGATTAGAGAATGCAGAATTAATGTTTCGGGTGCTGTAAGCCTTCTATACTGGATGAATGTTAGTTTAAAAATCATCATTAAGGAAGAAATTAAAGATGTAGAGCACTTTCAGTTCGATCAGGTTAATCATACTTCTGCCTCTGAATACAAAGATTTGAGGATTCCTACAGGCCTTGAATATATAATCTAGAATAACTTGTAAAGTTCAGGTTGCATTATAGGCAGTATTGTCTTTTTCAAATAAGTCTTTAAACAGAACCTGTGTATTGAGATGTTCACATAAAACATCATGACGTGTTTTGGGAAAAAAAGTTGTTCTCCAAGTGTTCTGACCAACAGTCCTTCCATAATTAGTTTCATCAAAAACAAATTAATGGTCCAGACCTGAAACATCAGCTTTCCATTCCTCTGATGCTGCCTAGTCTGCTGTGTTCATCCAGCTCTACACCTTGTTATCTCAGACTCCAGCATCGGCAGTTCATTCTTCCTTAATTAATTTTCTTCCTGTTTTTGGTCTTTGAGACGAGGTGCACAATCCTTGGTGCAATCACTCCCCTTCAGAAGTAATCCACTGTTTGTGAGGAGGTTTGTGTATTCTAGAATTAAGCAGGATGTGATCTATAAATAGATTAATTATTGCTGTTGAATTTGTCTTACAGCACTGAAATGTAGAGGAATAATTTTTTAAAAAAAACTGCAGATTATGGGAAGAATGTCAAATTTGTATTTAACTAAGATCTTTCAAAACCTCAGGATATCCAAAAGTGCTTTACAGGCAGTGAAGTGTTCTAAAGTAGGAACCACATGTACAGTTGGGCAGAATCTTGAGTAAATAGATGAATTAAATGTTTTGAGTTTAGACTCGACTCGGTACTATTTTGTAGAAGGATTCAACCAGATGTGTTCACCCTGTTTTCTCCACAGATGCTGTCTGACTTGCCATGTGTTCGCAAGGTTTTCAATTTTTGTTCAAATTCCTGTAGGGTTTTGTGGTATTGTGTGCTTAAGTGTTCATTTTTTTGGTTTGAACCTAACCGGTTGGGTCACATTTCTGTTGTATTTAAATTTGAAATCTGGATAGTGCAAAAAGTTGGATTTTTATTCCTCCTACAGAATAATAGATCATGGTTTATAAAATCCTCAAAGTAGTTTGACCACCTAGATAAATGCAGTGCAATTACCTTTGGATTCTGGCCTTCAAAGCATTTTCTGCTTTAGCATAATGACATTCTACTAATTTCATCTTTAGTCAGTAACAATATTTTTGAATGACTGCTGTTGCAATAGTAATTTTCATGTTCATCAATACAAACTGCTGCAGGACAAGTGCCTTACCTGAGTTTCAAACTTAGCTTTCAGGAAAGGATGTGCCAGCTAATTTCCATTTTTCATTCTGCAGCATTGTATTGAATTCAGTTGGGATTTGGGTTTGTGCAGCATGTTGACCTTCAGGCACATACGATGATAAAGATGGCTCTATTTGTTGCAAGACCCGTATTTTGGGAGGCTCGGTCAGTTATTTCAGAGAGTGACTAAATATCCTTGTGACTGTAACTCACCCAATTCAAAAGTGTTGGGAAATCTCAAAGGATTGAGGTGTGAGAATAGGAATTTAACATTGATGTGCAAAGCACAAAATAGCACACGAACAGGCCTTTCAGCCCTCCAAGCCTGCATTGACATATTTTACCCTTCCATACTAAAACTGTCTTCATTTACAGCATCCTTGATGTAGTAAGCAATTTTGAGGCAGAATTTGAAATATTCTATTGACAGGGTGAAAAGAGGTTTGTACCAGTCTTGCATGATAAACAGCTTTTATTTTGTTCGTGCTATCTGGTTTTTAAACTGCTTGTTGGGCTCTGCTTTGCTCTGAAAAATGGAATTCCACTGTATAGATCCCATTTTGTTTAAGAAGGAGAGCTTCGCATTTATATAATGCTTTTCTAGATCACTGCATGCCTTAGCTTTTACAGACAATGAAGTACTTTTTGAAGTGTAGTAGCTGTTCTAGGAATCAAAGCAGCTAATTTGCTTTTAGGAAGCTCCCACCATCAACGATGTGATAATGACCACATGATCTGTTTTCGCTGAGATGTTGATTGAGGGAATGATATTGGCTAGGACTCTGGGCATAACTCCTCTGCAAAACAATGTCATTGCACCCAAGCAGGTATATGGGACCTCTGCTTAACATTCAGTGAAAGGCATTACCTCCAGTAAGGAAATACTGCTTTGGTGCTGAACTGGAGTGAGAGCTATGACTTTGATAATTTGATGGTTTTTATTTTGGAGGAAACAAAATTGCAGAACCCATGTCTGCCCAGTTGGCAGTTACTAACCCCAAAAATCAACTAAATTGATGAGACTGATTTTGTAGATTTTTTTTTTGTAAATTGTGTCGACTGATTTTGAGTGCAGAGTGAGACTTCGTTTATGAGACACTGCCAATTTCATTTGTTCACTGTTTTCTGGCTTCAGACCACCTATTTCAGATTGCACTGCTGGAAGCAAGACAGATCAGTTATACGTCTTGAAGCAGGATTTTTGTTCCCAATTCACAGCAAGATTTGATAAGTGTGATAACTTGAGTGAGGTCAGGCCATTACTGTATTAAACCTTTGTTAGACCAGACCATGGGTGGGCCTTTGGCTACTTCTAGAACTGCATTTCCTAGTCACCAACTCCACTCTCTTCACCCTGACAATTTTTAGAGGTTCAGCCAGACCACTCGCAAATATAAATGCACCACACAGCCAAAGCTGCGGCTGCTGCCTTGCCAATATTGCTAGGAGTCTGCACTCCGGGCCTACCAAAACCACGAACCACTGCTGTCTTTGCCATGAGCCATGTAGATAACACCTTTTGTCTTCTCCTCGTGTTAACCAGTGTATTCTCAGGGGAAAAAATAAGCTCCTGAATTTATAATTAATACCTGTCCACTAAAAACAGTTTGTTAAATAAAGGCTGAGTGATACCTGGTGAGGTTGGGTTGTCAGGTCACTAAATTAATTTCATTTGAAATCTACAACCGAAATACTGTTGTAGCAAATTGTGTATCATCATTTTGGGAAAAAAAGGACCTCTTCTTCACATACACATCATCAAGTGGGTTCAAGCTTAACTTCTCTAAGTAAATAATTGAGTCTGATATTTTTATTGCTTCATGGATTTGCAGTTGAACATGTCAGGGAAATGAAATCTATTTTATGTAAAGTGCATTTATTGTAGCAGTTTTAATAGGCAAATGATCAGATGTGCATGTTAGCTATAAACCAAAGCTGGTAGTTAAAGTGGACATCTTTCAAACTAATAGTTATATACACACAAATAACAGTACAAGTCTTTTTATTAATTTCTTTGTAAAACATAAAATTGGAAGGCAGTGAGCAGAGATCAAGCAGTTAATTACAGAAGAAGAGGAGAATGCGCGAGAAAAGACTCCTGTATAACACGTTGAGAGTTGGATTAATCACCACCACCTCATGGCTGAGGAATAGTGTGCAGAGAACTGAAGAATAAATCTAAATATAGATAATGTGAAAATGGAAGGAAGGAGAAATAGTTGGCACCAACAGATTTTTTTCAGCATCAAAATAACATCTGTGTAAAAACGTTACATTGAGTAGAATTTCCATGCCAAACTGCAATCTGTCAATGTTCATTCTATGAATTTTTGTAAGAAACAAAATCTTTTGTTTTTGTTTTTGTGTTGCAGTGCTCAAAAGCTCATATCCTTTTTTTCTGTTCATATAATTCAGTGTTTAAATACTGCCAATAGCTCAGGATGTGGCTGTTATTATGTGGAGATGCCAGTGTTGGACTGGGATGAACAGGGTCAAAAATCACACAACACCAGGTTATAGTCCAACAGGTTTATTTGAAAACACAAGCTTTCATAGCTCAGCTCCTTCATACTACACCTGAGGAAGGAGCTGAGCTCCAAAAGTTTGTGCTTTCAAATAAAGCTGTTGGACAATAACCTGGTGTCGTGTGATTTTTGATGATGTGACTGTTGGCATGTTTTTGTTTGAATTCAGTGAGATCTATCATGCAATTTCATTAATGCTTTTTGGTTCTAAGCTGTACGTATCTCAATGAAGAAAACCAGTAATAGATCAATATTGCATTGATCAATGCTACTGTTGTTGCAGATTTTCTTAGTCATTCTGAAACTTTAATTTCTCATCTGTATTTGTGAATTATCTTGTTTCTCTTTTCTTAGAAATCAGACTGGGAGGTAGCCGTGAAATGCATAAACAAGAAAAATCTGTCAAAATCTCAAATTCTGCTTGGGAAAGAAATCAAGATATTAAAGGTACTTTATGTCCCTTTTATTTATTACCAGATAAAATAAAAGTTGAGAAATGGTCTGTGGTGCTTGGATTTTGATTTTCTCCACTAAAAGTCAATATTCAGATAAGTAGCTGTTGTTGACCATCCCTTTGAAACAATACTGTGCAGTGCTGTTACATTTTAGATCCTGACTCAAAAATTCTAGTTTGACTCCTAGATCCTGAAACTAGATTCAAATTGGCAGGTAATAATGGACAATGTGATATGCTTTCCCAGTATACCAGTGACATTAATGTTTTATTTATTTATATTGTCATGTTGGCAGTTTCATTCTTTGGACAGTACTGCGACTTGGAAATTGCATTAGATTTAAAACCAATCCCATTTGCACCTGCTGTGGCACAGCACATGTTTGTGTTGTGATTTTCTTTCATTTCTTTTCTGTGTTTCTTATATGAGGCACCCAATTTAAAATCAAATCTTAGGACAGTGCTTCAATTTGTTTGTTTTGTCGCTTTCCAAAATACTTCCCAGTAGCAAACATATAATAAATAGGACATTAATTGCACGGAAAATGTGGATATTTCATTTGCACAGGTGCCCGCTTGGTGTTTAATCCTTGTCAGCGTAACTGAGTGTGTGTTGCTTTGTTGCAACTTTGATATTCGATGACTTAATGGAAATTAAAGATTGAAGATCAATGGTTTATACAAATGTAACACTACAGAAGTGGGTGTAGAAGTAACAGCTGAATACTGCTCACCTTTGATCAATTCAGTTTGGTTATTGTTCTGAACTATAGGAAGCAATTTGGGCAACCACATTTAAGAGGTTAAATTCCTATATTTGTTATAGGCAGCACTACCTGCTCTTATTGCATTCACATACACAGCTGAAATTAAAGGGCACTGAAGAGTAAATATTTTCAAGTTCAATGACTTTCGCTGTAGTTTTAATACATTTCAGTTACAAATTCTGTGCTTTTCCTTTTAGGAGCTTCAACATGAGAACATCGTAGCACTTTATGATGTTCAGGTAAGATAGTTGATTCTGGTTTGTTTTTGTCACTTTCAGTACTAATTAATCTTTTAAAGAAAATTTATTAGAGGTATCATTTCGACTCAACTGGCTAAATTAGTTAATATAAATGTGTCTTAAGATCTTCTACATCTGACTCTTGGGGACATGGTTAATTTGATTTTACAGCTGGAAGTTTAAAATAATTAAGGAGTTTATGATTGAATAGAAATATTTTCTATCCAAGTCTTTTTTTTTTTTGAGGGTGTTTTTTTTGCTAAAGCCAGTATTAACCACGTGTAGCATTATCATTGTTTGACTGCCAGGGCATGGAGTTGTGGTAATATCACTTGCAGAAGGTTTATATGCAGTTTTCTAACTTTTGTCTCTAACTTTGATCACTAGCCAAGAGGTTACCAGCATTTAACCTGCTTTTAGAAGATGACTTGTGCTTCAGTGCACTTTTGTGCATTGTTGCTGCTATTGAAGTGACACATGAGAATGCATCTTTTCTTCACGAGGAATAGTTTAAATAAATTGGGCACAAAGAAACTGAAAACAGTAGACTAAACTTCTACTTTAAGATGTATTCCATATTATTTGCTGAGGAAAAGAACACCATTGGAACATATGTCCCATTATTGGTTATCTAGTTGTTATCATCTTGAAGAGAGAGCCCGAGGATTGCTTATGCCTTGAATTGCCGTACGGATTTCATTGCTCTGGTTTTATCATGGAAACAGTACCTCTCCCTTGGCCACCTTGAATTTCATGAAGCTGCTGCATCTGCATGTTAACTACACATTAAACTCATCACATGAAATTGTCTGAGACAACAAGGTGCAGGGCTGGATGAACACAGCAGGTCAAGCAGCATCATAGGAGCAGAAAGGCTGACGTTTCGGGCCTAGACCTTTCATCAGAAATGGGGGAGGGGAAGGGGGTTCTGAAATAAATAGGGAGTGTGTGGGGGGCGGATAGAAGATGGATGGAGGAGAGGATAGGTAGAGAGGAAACAAACAGGTCGAAGAGGCGGGGATGGAGCCAGTAAAGGTGAGTGTAGGTGGGGAGTTAGGGAGGGGATAGGTCAGTCCAGGGAGGACGGACAGGTCAAGGGGGCGGGATGAGGTTAGTCGGTAGGAGATGGGTGTGCGGCTTGAGGTGGGAGGAGGGGATAGGTGGGAGGAAAAACAGGTTAGGGAGGCGGGGATGAGCTGGACTGGTTTTGGGATGCGGTAGGGGGAGGGGAGATTTTGAAGCTTGTGAAATTCACATGGGAACCCTGCAGCCCAATGGTATCAATGTGGATTTCACAAGCTTCAAAATCTCCCCTCCCCCCCCCCC